GTTTGTCAATAGATCCAGCCCACTGCTGGGGTTTGAAATCTGCCCTGTCCCGCCCTGCCCTGCTCCTGGCAGGGGAGGGGGTCCAAAGGGGCCAGGTGTTGCCTCTGCCAGGGCTGGAGTTCCCATCGCCGTGCCACCCCCTCCAGTTGAGCTTGAGCTTCGGGTGTCATTTGCATATGATTCATTGACTGTCTAGAATTGTTAGGAAACCCCCTGTGCCCCCTTCTGTTAAGCTCCCCAATCCTGGTTTCCTCCTCTGAGCCCCTCCAGGACTGCCTGACTTCTGTTCATGGGGAACCATTGTTTCAGGAGAGCCTGGGGAGGGGAGAGGAGAGAGTGAATGAAGGGGGGGGGGGCTGGGCCAGCTGGGCTTGGGGACCCCTGGCTCCTCTCCCCTGACAACAGGGAGGAAATGGTCAATTTCTCTTCCCCTCCTCCCCTCCCCAAATCCAAAGGTTTCCCTTTTTTGGTTTGTGAAATGAAAGAAGGGAATTTGGGAAAGGGTTGTGGTCGGGCCTCCACCCACACCCCGAATGTCCCTCTCCCCACATCCCTCTCCTCAGTCTGGGGGAAGCAGACCCTGGAAAGTGGGTAATTCTCTTGCCCAGCTCTGTCCACAGATGCTCACCGTGGTCGGGGAGAGGAAGGGAGAGCAGACACCGCCCAGGGAGGCCCTGGGTGGTGCTGAGAGGCGTGGGGAGGCTGGGGAAGGGGGGAGGGGGGCAGTTGCCCAGCACCTCCTGGGTGCCAGGCGCGGTGCTGGGTGCTTTCCAGGACTTTTATCTCTTAAATCACACAACCAGTTGTTGAGGTAGACGGTGCACAGGCGAGTAAACAGATGCTCGGAGAGGTTAAATGACTTGCCTAAGGTCACCCAGAGTGGCAGAGCTGAGATTTGACCCTTCAAACCTCTGTTTTTTCCTACCATCTTCAAGGCGCAGCCAGCTCCTGCCTTTTCCTCTAGGTGTGTGACCCTGGGGCACCTGACCCTGAGCAGGGGTTCTGGCACCGTGGTGAGGGGGGGGGGGCCATGGGCAAGGGCGTGTGGCTGGTGGCAGGCGCTCTAGCCCCCACCCCTCTTTCAGCCGTGCTGAGTCTTGGCTCAGCGTATGGGAGGTGTGGGCCTGCGGTTTCTATCCCTCGAGGGAGGGTGCCCGTGGGCCGTGGAGGTGGCGGGCACAGGGTGGAGGTTGGATGTGGGTAGTTTGTTTTCCCTTTCTTTGGTGCTGGTTTCGATTCTGTGACTGTGTCTTCTCCACCCCTGGGTGCAGGGGCCCGGGCCCAGGTGTCTCCTGGAGGGTCATGGCTGCAGAGGGAACTTCTGAGGCAGAGCCTGTGCGCTCTGGCTCTGTCCCCATCATCCGTGCCCTTGCCCATCCCTGTTCCCTCACCAGCCTGGCCCTTGGCCCGGTGTCTGTGATCTTTACCCCCTCCGGCTGCTAAAGGCCCTCCCCAAGGGGCTGAGTGACTGCACTGAAGTTTGAAGCTCAGATCGGGGTGGGGAGGCCTTGCAGCCTCTCCCTGGGGTGTGTATCTGTGGGGGAGTTTGAAGTTTGGTTCAGTTTCAGACTCCTCTGGGGCAGAGGAGTGGAGGCATTAAGGTGACTGTAGTTCTCTCTCCTGTGGGGGCAATGGGGGGTTCCAGAGGGGGTCCACCCCCAAGCCCCCAAAGCTGGGTCAGGACGCCTGGAGTCTGAAGCGACTGGCTTTCTGGGCCTCAGCCCCCCGGGGCCTCCCCTCAGGGAGGCAGCCCCAGCGTGGATGTGAATCCTCCTGAGTATTTCCGAGGGGTGCACCTCTGTGTGTTCATGGAGCGCGGTGTGTGCTGGGGGCCTGGACCCCAGGGAGGCGGGTACAGAGGCCAGCCTGGCTGGGGGAGGGCCAGGGGAAACGGGGGCTGTGGTGTGTGTCTGCGGGGAGCTGTGTCCTGGGGCTGGGCACGCCAGCCCGGAACCATGTTCATTGTGTGGTGGAGCCCCAGTGTGGAGAGATGGTATCTCCAGGTCCCCTCTTCTCCCGTGCGTGCCCACACACACACAGGCCGGTGTGCGAACGTGCTCTTGCCCACCCGTATGCTCCCCATAGCCCTGCGTGCACGAGTTTCTGCAAGTGTGGGGTGTGTGTGTGTGTGTGTGTGTGTGTCTTAGTCTGACTGTCAGTGCTGATGAGGCCCAGCCAACCCCTCCTTCCCTTGCCTGAGTTCCGTTGTGTGGGGCCCCACAAGGGTGTGGGGGGCCTGGGGTGGCAGTTTGCCCAATGGGTGGGGCCCTTGTTCCTCTGACGTCAGCCCTCTCAACCCGGGAGGGAATCTGTAGGGGCCTACGGGGGAAGGGACACCTCCTTCAGGAGTAAGAACAGAGCCCGATGGTCGTCGTCATTAATAACAGTAAAAATCATGGTCATTAACAAGGTCCAGCCCTAGCCGGTTTGGCTCAGTGGCTAGAGCGTCGCTCTGCAGACCAAAGGGTCCCCGGTTCAATTCTGGTCAAGGGCACATACCTCTGTTGTAGGCTCCCCCCCCCCCCCCCCCCCCCGGCGCAGACCTCGGGGTCCTAGTCAGGGCTCTCTGTCTTTCTCTCTCTCTCCTACTCTCCCTAAAAATCAATGGAAAAATATCCTGGGATGAGGATTAACAAAAACAAAAAAACAAGGTCCAGATTTCACGCCTAGGAGAGCTGCCCCCTCCCTAGCACGTACCTGTCCCCACTTCCCCCTCCTGGCGCAGGCTGCCTGGCCCAGCTGGGCCCAGAAGCCCTGGCCTCGCCCACAGTGGCCTTGGCAGGAACTCCCCTTCCCAGGCATGGTCCTCAGCCAAATGCTGGCCATGTGCTTGTCCACTGGACACCAGGTCTGAGCTGGGGAGCCTGGAGCTTGGAACCTGGGACGGCTCGAGCTTGGGGGGACGGGGTTGGAAAGGGAGGCAGTCCTTATTTTGGGTCTTTTCCTTTCCCTTCCTCCCTTCTCTCTTTCTTCTTAACAGCTTTATTGAGATGTAATTCATAAACCATAACATTCACCCATTAAAGTATACAGTTGAATGGTTTCAGTATTTTCAGAGTTGTGCAACCACCACAATCAATTTTAGAAATTTTTCATCACTGCGAACAGAGGTCCCGTACTCTCAGCAGTCACTTCCCATTTTCCTCAAACCCACACCCAGCCCCTGGTAAACCACAATCTACTTTATGTCTTTATAAATCGCCTATTCTGGACCTGTTATGTAAATGGAATCAAACACTATACGGTCTTTTGGAACCAGGTGAATGCTTTTAAGGTGTATCCATATTGGAATGTATATCCATGCTTTAATCCTTTTTTATGGCAGAGTAATATTCCATTGTATGGATCTGTGTGTCATTTCTTCATTCATCAGTTGATGGACATTTGGGTTAACTTTCTGGCTGTTAGGAACAATGCTGTGATGAACATCCATGTATAAGTTTTTGTGTGGGCTGATGTTTTCATCTCTCGTGGGTAGATACCTCAGAGTGAAATGGTTGGGTCATTATAGGACAGTGATGGCGAACCTATGACACGCGTGTCAGAGATGACACGCGAACTCATTTTTTTGGTTGGTTTTTCTTTGTTAAATGGCATTTAAATATGTAAAATAAATATCAAAAGTGTAAGTCTTTGTTTTACTATGGTTGCAAAGGTAAAAAATTTCTATATGTGACACAGCACCAGAGTTAAGTTAGAGTTTTTCAAAATGCTGACACGCCGAGCTCAAAAGGTTCACCATCACTGTTATAGGATGCTAACGCTGTGTAACCTTTGGGGAGCGGCCATACTGTTTTCCAGAGCAGCCGTGCTACGTTACATTCCCACCCGCAATGTCTGAGGGCTCCAGTTTCCCACATCCTTGCCAACACTGGCTATTATCAGTCCTTTTTATTATCGCCGTCTTAGTAGATGTGAAGTGGCATCTCATTGTGCTTTTGATTGGCTGTTCTTTGTGTGTGTGTGTATCTGTCTTTTCTCTTGTCTTTCATGTATGTACTACACATGTATGTATATAGACATGCACGTATGTGTATTCAGGTATGTAGGTCCTATAGAGCCCGAGTGGATGGGAAGTCTCTGCTGTGGATCTGTTCTCTTTTTCGCTCTTTGCTGTCTGTCTGTGTCACGGAGCCTCTGGGTTCATCTCTGTCTCTCTCTCCCCCATGGCGTTATCTATGCGTGTCCTCTGGCCCCAGCTGTTCAAACAGGGTGTGGATCTGTGTACACACTGGTGGGGGACATCTGGCCTTTCATCTGTGGCCCACCCCTCGCCCCCTCCAGGGATGTTGCTTCTGCAGACAGAGTTTGTGGGTGAACTCTGAGATCAGCCTCCCTCACCCCTTCAGTGTAGGCCCCGCCCTCCTGACCCACTGCCCACCCAGCCCATCCTTCTGTTAGGTTAGGCACTGGGGGTGATGCCCAGGAGCCCTCAGTTCGCGTTTCCCTATTTTCACGTATGTAAACAGGCCTCCTCCCCTGGCCTGTGGGACAAACCCATCTGGGGTGCTGGGGCTTGGATTTGGGGGGGGGAAGTGGTGTAAGAGGGGCCCCTGGCTTAGGAGTCATTTTTCTGAGAAGTGCCAGTGCTTTAGGGAAGCGGCTTTTCCTCCCCCTCCCTGCTCCCCTCCAGCCCTCATTCTCTGCATCTTGACCTCAGGTAACCCACGCTGGGGGAAGGCGCTCAGCCGCCTGCCTCTGCTACAGGGAACCTTTGGGGTGGCACCGTAGACCCTTTACCCTCAGGATTGTGGGTGAGAGGCCTTCTGCGGCTCTGAGCTCTGCCCCTGTCTCCCCAGCCTGGCTGTGCTGTCCTGCCACCCCCAGCAGCGTCTGGGCCCTGCTCCCAGGCTGTCTCTGCCAGCCAGGCATGGTGCCAGCTGTCTGCTCAGCCGGGTGCCACAGGAAAATCTCCGGCCGCCCAGGTTGGGGAGCTCCACGGGGAATGCCCGTGTGCCCGCTCCTCTGTGCCCACTCACCTGTCTTTCCTCTCTCTGCAGCGTCACAGGACATGGCCCCCCCAGCTGCCTAGCTGGGGCCCACCTAGGAGAGGCATCCTCTTCGGCGCCCTGAAGGCCAGCTCTGGACCTCCCCAGGAAAGTGCCCGCTTGCAGAACTGCTTGACCAAAGGACCAGCTCTTGGGACGTCCCCGAAGCCCTGGCCCCCAGCTAGCGTGGGGGCTCCAGGCGGCTGAGATTAGTCCGCTAGCCTTGGACAGCAGCCCCAGGACAGAAGGGGGGGTGGGCTGACCACCCCAGCCCCCTTCGGGCCCAGGCCCCATGCCCCGAGGAGGGGCGGCCTGAAGCCCGCCGGAGCCTTCCGCCAGACTGTCTGCCTGCCTCCTGACTGTGGCTGCTTGGCATGGCCAGCAACAGCAGTTCCTGTCCGACACCTGGGGGAGGGCACCTCAATGGGTACCCGGTGCCCCCCTACGCCTTCTTCTTCCCCCCGATGCTGGGTGGACTCTCCCCGCCAGGCGCTCTGACCACTCTCCAGCACCAGCTTCCAGTTAGTGGCTACAGCACACCCTCCCCAGCCAGTAAGTGGGGTGATGGGAGGCTGGGTGGGGGAGCCCTGGAGGGAGCAGGCCTGGGGGTTGGCCTGTGGGTACATCTGTCCTGCTGCAGCAGCGAGGTCTTCTGCGGACAAGGGACACATCCATTGTTTGGGGGGCTCCGGGAGGAAAGGCTTGTAGGCTGATCACGTGGTTGTTTGATGTTGGGGCCGTGGAGGGAGAGATGAAACAGTGTTGTTCTGCGGTGCCCCCCAGCCCTCTTCTGTGCCGAGTCTTTGAGGACCTTATAAATAGCTCCAAGGACTGGACACACAGCCTGCAGGCGAGTAAACAAACCTCTCGACATTTGGTGGAAATGGCAGCTCTACTGAGAGGGCACCCACCTACTCCCCACCCCATCCAGCGTCTCTGAGGGAAAGGGCTTGAAGGAGTAGAGAGGGGCAGGCTGCTGCAACCCCCTCCCAGGGCCAGCTCCGCCCCGTGGGGAGGGAGAGAGGGAGGAACCCAGGAGCAGCCTGGGGGATAGGGCGAGTGTCCCAGGAGGGGCGCTGGGCTTGGCCGCTGGCGGTGGACACATGCGTGGTCTTGGCAGGGCCTGTGTTTTCTCTCTGCCTCCGCCCTCTGCCATGGGGGCTGCCTGTTAGCTGGACGGGGGTCTCAGTGCCCTTCCCTGGCTGGCCGAGCCAGGTAGTGGGAGGTGGCGGCGGCTACGGCCAGCTGGCAGAGTCCAGGCCTAGGGCCTGCCAGGCCGCTTACAGTAACTCTGGCCCCCAGGGCCCAGCTGGGCGCCAGGCCAGGGCTGGGGGGGAGGAGGGACTAGAGCCGGGGCCTGGCCTGGGGCTGGAGGAGGGGTGGAAGCAGCAGAACAGACCGTGGACCGGCAGGGACCAGCAGGCTGGCGGGTCAGTCGCTGACCTGGGAAATGTGTCCCACCTCTCCTGGCGGGCAGGGACTGAACACCCTGCCCCGGGCACCCACTGCCCCTCCCGCAGCCACTGGCAAGCTGCCTGGCATCACTGCCCTGTGAGCCTGGCCTGGCGGGGTCAGTGCCTCCTTCTCGGTGCGGGGGCAGTGCGCTCTCCCCAGAGCCAGGGAGTCTCTTTGTCCCTGGGGCAGGCCCTGGCTGGGCGCCTCACTGCCCGCACTGGCCCAGTGCCCACCACCACCGCTTCCTGGTGGCTGCCTCTGGCTCCGCCATGGCCCCCTTCCTCCCAGGCCCCACCAGCCGCTGGGAGTAGGAGCTCTATGCCTGTGCCCCTTTAAGCCCTGGGGCAGGGGGCAGTCAGATACTGCCTCAGTTTCCACCACCACCCCTGGTCACACCTCTGTCTTCTGTTTCCTTCCTCTCTCCTCTCTTCCTCACATAGGATGCGAGGCGGGTGGCACAGTGACCTGGGAGTCGGGAACCGATTCTGGCCTGGCCTTCCAGTGGGTGCCAGGTGATGGCGAGGCCAATTCTTGGGTTCAGGGTTGCCAGGGAGTGGGTGGGTGTGGCTGTGGTTCCCAGTATCCGTATGGGGTAGTTGCTGGGTAGTTGTTGTGTCTACAGGGACTGGGGCTCATGTTTCCACCTCGGATAAGGAGCGTCTGCTTCCTGCAGGGTGGGGTTTCTTTAGGGAAGAAGTCGGGGGCTGTAAACTGGTGTCTGTGGACAACTTGTCCTTCCCCAGGTGATGGGAGCAGAGTCCCGACACTGCTCCCCGGGGGCCTGGCCGCACTGAGGGTGGGAGGGGGCCTGCTGCTGGCCCTGCCCTGCCCTGTGCCAGGGGAGTGCATTCTTTGTCCTCCTCTGAATGTTGCAAGCTTCTTCCTCTTTCTCAGAGGTGGGTGGGGAGGGCTTCCGGGTCCCCACTTCCCACCCTGGTAACCTTTCCCCCCCAGGGTGGGGTGCCCACATTTCAGGCAAGTAAAGGCTTCTCTGGCTTTCTCCACCCAGGTTAGGCAATGCCCCTCCTGCCCCCTCCCTGCGGGAGCCTGTGGCTTTCCCAGCTCCTCTCCCCCTCCTTCTCCTCCTCCTCAACAACAACAACAGTGACTCTTCCTACCCAGACCCCCTGCTTCCGAGCTTCTCCCTAACCTTCCCCCCTTCTGGGACCTTCTTATGCAGAGCTGGGGGCCTGGCTCTCAGCTCCGGGCATGGCAGCCTGACAGATCAAAATTCCCATGCGTGGGGCAGCCCCGCCTTCCCTGCTGCCCCATTCCTGCAGGGAGCACTGCCGGGCTCTGGCCCTCGCCACCCTTCTGTAGGAAACCTCGCTGATGAGGCTCCCTCCTCCCACTTTCCACCAACAAAGGTGTTGGGACCTTCCCTCCCCCCCTCCCATCCTTCTCCCCAAGAGGAGGCTGGGCCTTGGGTGCCTTGGGTGTCTCCTTCAGAGACCTGGTGGCCTATGGAAGGACATAAATATTCTTGGGGTATTTGCCCTGCTAGTCTCTCAGGAAGGTCCCCGAGATGGTACAGGATTCTCTACCCCAAACCAGCCCTGGGGCTCGTCTCCTGCGAGGACTGGTATTTACTGTGGAGGGCTGGATTCTGTGTGCATTGTGGTGAGGGTCAGGGCTGTGTGTGCTTAAGGGATTGGTGGGGTCAGGGTTGGGTGTGTGTTGGGAAGGGAGTTAATGGTTTATGTGTATTGGGTGAGAGGGTCACAGAGTTGAGTGTGTTTTGGGGAAATCCAGTCGGGGGAGCTGGGGAAGGGGTATCACAGCTTGTGTGCTGGAGGGGCCTTGATTTAGGGCGTAGAGGGTTTCAGGGGGAGTGGTCTGTGGATTATGCTGTGTTTGGGGAGGGGAAGGCCTCTAATTCTTATCATCTAGGCTGGAGGGGAGACTAACCTGCCGTTTTTGTTGCTCCCCCAGAAATTCCTCGGTGGGGTAGGGTCGTTTGGGTGCAGGCTTTGTCACTAGCTGATCTGATAACCTCTCTGAGCATGCTGCCTGGGCCGTAAAGCAGGGGTATCACCAGAGCTCCCTGAGAGGGCTGAGATCAGGCCAGGTGGTCATTGGTCTGGTTGTGGTCGCACAGCTGTTGTGACAGTGAGAAGGGCCCTGGGCCCTCCGTAGGTGGGCTGCTAACCTACTGTGTGTGGGACTTTATCTCTGGTCTACAATCTTAGTCCTCACAACCCTGGGAGAGGGACACTGTCTCCATTTACCCATGAGGAAGCAGCTCTGGTGGAGGCTGTGACTGGGTTCAGTGGCCGGGAAAGTTGGGCTGTTTTCCAATAACTGGATTGGCAGCTGCGGGAGAGGGTATTTTGAGGGGCACTCCTGGGTGTGGGAAGCCCAGAGGGGGCAGTGGCTGTGCCGAAATCCCCCCATGGCTGAGGCCCTTCTTCTGCCTTCGGAACTCCCGCCTTTCCCCGGTAGGGGGCGAAGGCAGCACCCCCAAGCCTCACCCTCTCTCTCTCTGTTTTGGATTCTGAAGGCTGGAGGGAAAGAGCGATAAGAGGCCTGGGCCAGATCTCCATCCTGTCCTGGAAGCAGCGGATACAATCTGTTCACACCCATCCCCACCCCCCCCGAGTCTACCCACTGCCGCCCGCGGGAGTTTGCAGAGCTCAGCAGGCAGCCTTCCCCCATCTCCAGACAGACACCGTAGGAACAGAGTGTAAAAACCACAGTTCATATTCTTATTTTGTTTCAATGTGTGGGGTGGGGGCAGGGAAGTTGGAAGCAGTCAGTAGAGGAGCCGGAAATGGGAGCCCCGAAAGATCGGCTCCGTCTTTTCCTTTCTGTCCCTGTGTTCGCTGTGTGCGCCTAGAGACCGGGGCATGGCCCTAGGGCCTGGGACCCTGGGGAGTCAGAGGAAGGGGTGTGCCCTGCCCCCCTTTGTCTCCTCTGCCACTCTCTCCCCATCACAGGCTGCGTCCTCCCTTCCTCCCTCCTGCCTGCTCTTTCCCTGGACAATAAGGAGGGGCAGCCCTGGACAGGGGGAGGGGGTACACTAGCGATGCCTTTCCTGGGATCCAAAATGTAGAGTCAGCCAAGACAGTTGGATGGGATTTTGAATGAAAAGGGGGCCCCTCACCTTTCATGTGGCCGCATTAATAATGCACAGACCCCCTCTGGGCAGGATCCCAGCGAGGGTTGGGGGAGGGACTCCGGGAAGGACGCCTGCCCTCTTAGACTGGCCAAGACCTGGGACACGGTAAGGGCCGTGCGCCCGTGGGGATGTGCCAGCGAAGGCCTGACTACTCTTCAGGGGTAGCCTATGTAGAAAGAGGAAGAGGTTTCCCTTCTGCAAATGACTTTGGGGTGGGGCCCACCCCGCCTTCTTCCTCCTCCTCTTCCTCCTTCGTGGAGCGGGTGGACAGCCAGTGGAGCTGGGTCTCCCAGGGCGGACTGGAGGCCCTCAGCCCTCACCAGATCAGAAATAGAGGCCCCCTCCCCATTTTGACGACTGGGTGCTGGGAACCTCAAACAGCCCACAGACCAAGGCTCTTGTGGGCAGCAGTCTTACAGGAGGGCTCTTCCTGTCTGGCCTTGGGCAGGTCACCCAAACGCTGTCTGTTTCCTCCTCTTTAAAGCAACACTCCTCATCCGTCTCTGGCTGGGCGAGTTGCTGTGAGGCCACGGTGACCTGCTTGCTGGTGCAGGCTTGGGTGAGCTTCCAGTGCCCTGGGAGTGATGAGCAGTGATGCTGCGGGGCGGGTAGAGCCAGGAATTGTCTTGGGGGATGGCCACCCTGGACTGGGACCTGATGTCCGTCTGGTTCAGAGCCTCATGATTTCCTGTTTATTATCCTCTCCAGATGGGGTTGGGGACAGGAGGGAGCCCTGCCTGGCACAAGTGGGGGCCAGTTCAGTTGAGCCCACAACCGCTGAGGGCCTGCTAAGCACACAGCCCCGGGGGAGCTGTGGGGGCTGCTGCAGAGGAGGACCCCAGGCCTGCAGCTGCCAGCACCCACCAGTGGGCTGGCCTTCCTTTCCCCCTCTTCTCTCTCTGCCCCAGGACACTGTTCGGCTCTGACCTGTCCCATGACCTTGCTGTTGCCCAGAACCGGCATCTCACCCCCAACTGCTCCCCTTCGTCAGCTCCAGAAATCCTATCCGTCCTTCAGAGCTGTTCCCCGGAACTTGCTACACTCTTTCGCCCTCCTTTGAGCGCCTGTGGGTCTTTATTTTTTTCTCTGACGACACTCATCTCTGCCATGAAGTGACTTCTCCCCACCCAGCTCCTGCTGTGAGCTGGCATCATTTAGGCGATGTCTTCCGTATCCCTAGGCCTTTGATGGCAGGGTCAGTCTCAGCTCCCTTAGTACCTCCCGTGGTGACACAGAGCCTAGAACATAACTGGTGCCAGGAGCTACGTCATTTGGGAGGAAAGACACCAAGGGCCGAGGAAGCATCTGTCTTCTTCCCCAGCGATCTCATTCGCTGCCAAGGCTGGCATTCGTGCCCGGGACCCCGGCGCTCCACCTGCAGCCCAAACCTCACGGAGGTGAGATCTCACACTGAGCCCCACACCCACCTGTTCCCCAGCCCAGGAGGCTTCTCTACGTTTCAGTCTCAGGAACTTTGCGGGTGCACAGGCCACACATGAGTCCTCTTTGCTATCTCCTTTCCTAGTCCCACTCACCGCCCCCCCGCCCCCGATTCTACCCTCAAAAAGTTTCAAACCCTGACTTGTGTTGTTCAGTGGTTAGAGCGTCAGCCTGGGCACCAAAGGGTTGTGGGTTCGACTCCTGGTCAAGGGCACATACCTGGGTTGCAGGTTCCACCCCTGCCTTGGTTGTGGGGCATACCCGAGGCAGCCAATCTATGTCTCTCTCACATTGATGTTTCTCTCTCTCTCCTCACCCCTCCTTCCCTTCCACTCTCTCTAAATGTCAATGGAATAATGTTCTCAGGTGAGCTTTTAAAAAAAAGTTTCCAGAATCCACCTTCCTCTGTCTATCAACACAACCAGTTTCCTAGACTGCACTACCGTTGTGTGCTGTCCAGACGACTGCAGTAGCTTTTAACTGGTCTCCCTTGCCCTCCTACAATCCATTCTTCACATATCTGCTAGAAGGATCTCATAATGCTATAACTCAGATCTTGCCGCTCCTCTGCTTGGGATTTTCCTGTGGGTTCTCCTTGCATTTAGGATAAAATCCAAAAGTCTAAATGAAGCTAACAAGCCCATGTGGCCTGGCCTCAGCACACCTCTCCAGCCTGGTCTTGTGCCCCCTTTCCTCTTGAATTTTATGCGCCATCTACCCTATTCCTCTGCCAGTTCCTTGAATGAACTCACCAACTTCTGTAACCCCAGGACCTTTGCACACGCTCTTTCTTTTTCTGAGACTGCACTTCTTCCTACTCTTTGCCTAACTAGGTCTCTGCTTTGAGGTCCTCCCTGACCCATCAGTACCTACATTAATTCTTCAAAGCACGCTATACTTGTGTCATACTACCAATTATCTCAGTTTGCAAACACACACACACACACACACACAAACACACACACGTATAATCACAAATACTTGCTTAATGGCTGTTGCTCCATAAGGACTGCAAGGGCAGGCTCAACGGAGTGTCCACAAAGGAGGTGCCCCCCAAAATACATTTTTATTTCTTGAATTGGCCTGGCATGGTAGGAATATGGGCTTTGTCAGCAGAAAGTTCAAATACACCACCCTTTATTGGCAGTGTGAACTTGGGCTACCCACCTAGCCTTGCTGGGAAACAGGAATAATGCCCGCTTTTCTCTTGGAGTAGCTGTGAGGATTCAGTGACAATACACGTCTGCGGGGGTTAAGAACCTGGCTCCTAGAAGGCTATCCTTGGGAAGCAGGTGGATTCCTGTCCCCTTTGGGGGTGCAGGAGGGAAGGGTTAGAGGGAGCCCTGGGACACCCGCTCCTCCAGGAACATGCCCTCCTTCACGGACCTACCCAACCCGGCCTTTCTCCAGTGAACAGGCCCCGAAGGCTGCAGAGGAAGTGGTCAGCTGCAGAGCACCGGCCCGTCCTTGGATCCCTCCAGGGCTGGGCGGTGCAACCGGGGCCCGTCCTGGTTCCGAGGTGGAGACACCCGGGGCCGCGCTGTGCTCACCGGAAGCCCGCAGGGCGGCGGGAGGAGGGTCCCCGCTGCGCGCAGATGTGCCCAGGCACCCGCACGGCGTCGGTTCCGGCAGCGGGCGGGCGGCCAGTCACACATGATGTCAGACAATGACACCAGCCGGTGTCTCAATCCGACACCGCGGCTGAGCGGCACAATGTCACCCCCGGGACACCCGGCGCGCCGCGTGCTGCGCGTGGGGCCAACGCTTGGCCGCACACCCCCGGCCCCTCGCCGCCGCGGCCACTCTCCGCGCCTCCGGGGGAGCCGGCCCGGCCCGGCTGGACCGGGGGCCCGGCCGGCGAGCCCACGGGCGGGCTGGCGAGCGGGTGATGTCACGGGCCGCGGCGGGTGGGTCACCCGGAGGTGAGGCGCCGCCAGGCGAGTTCAGCGAGAGTTCAGCCGCATGGCATTAGGCAAATGAGGCCGGGCGGGTGGGGGGTGCGGGGGACACCGGGACCACCCCCCGCCTCCCCGCACCCACACTTCCCCGCCGGGGCACCGCCGGCTCCGGGTCTGACCTAGCCTCGGGGGAGGCCGGGAGCCGGAACCGGGGCGGGGGAGCCGCCCGCCCCTCCTCCGTCCTCGCCCCGCGCAGCCCCCTCCTCTCGGCGTCCCGGCCGCCGTCTGCGCTCGGCCGCTCCTCCCGGTGCCCGTTCCTCGCTGCTCCCTGCGCCTCCCCTTCCAGGCTCCCCGCTCGCCCGTGCACGGCCCGCCCCTCTCGGTCCCGGCGTCCCTCCCGCCGCCGCGGCCCCGCGGGAAAGGGTTAAGCCGAGGGGCGGCGCCTGGGCGCGGGGCGGAGGGAAGGAGGTGGGGTCCCGGGCGGGGGCTCGGGTGGGGGTGGGGTGGGGGCGGCGGCGCGCACCGCCGGAGCCCCAGCGACGGGCCGGGAGGCGGGGCCGCGCGGGGTCCCCACCCCACCCGGTGTCCCGGCCCCGGAGAAGCCCGGGCGCCCCGGCGGGGAGGAGGAAGTGCTCGGGGCTCCCCGCCTCCCGCGCGGATCCCGCCCCCGCCCCCGCCCGGCGCACTCGGGGCGCCGCGTCCAGCACCGTGAGACTCCGGACGGGAGCCCCCTCGAGGGGAAGCGGCCGAGGTCCCGGGCTCGGCCTGGCGTCCCCGGGGGAGTCGAGGGGCCCCCGCCCCCCCCGCCGCCCGCACACACAACTTCCCCGCGTTCCACCTGGAGCTGGCGGAGCGGCGGGCCGACTCGGACGCAGGACTCCGGGCAGCGGGCGGCCCCCCGCGCGGGCGGCCAGTCGGGGCGGGGGACGCGCCCCTCGCCCCGCTTCCAAGGATGGCGCCGTCGTCTGAGTGAGGGAGCCGGCTCTCAGGACCTCCCCGCCCGGCCCGCTGGTCTCTGCGGAGATGTACGAGAGTGTGGAAGTGGGGGGGCTCACCCCCACCCCCAGCCCCTTCCTGGTGGTGGATTTCTATAACCAGAACCGGGCCTGTTTGCTCCCGGAGAAGGGACTCCCCGCCCCCGGGCCCTACTCCACCCCGCTCCGGACTCCGCTTTGGAATGGCTCAAACCACTGTAGGTACCAGCCGCCCCTCTCCATTGTGAGGGTGGGGGTGGGCCGTGGGCTTCGCTCCCCGGGGGAGGCGAGCCTGGGGGCGTGGTGGGGTCTTGGCTCTGCCCTTCGCTGTCCCTTGTCTCTCTTGCTGAAACCCTGGTGTCTTTGCTGGACAATTCGACTCCCGGGATCACCCTAGGCCCCGTTTCTGTCCTGGTACATTAGGGCCAAGGAACTTTGGGGGCTCCTCCCTTCAGGAAACATTTGTTCATTTATCCGCCACTTCGTGGAGGGGAAACGCAGCCCCTGGCCCCACGTCGGGTCTTCTTGCTTGGAACCCAACAGCTTCGCAACAGAGCGGTCCTTTCCCCCCCTGGAGGGTGGGGTCAGGGTCCCATTTGTGGGCTTGTCTGCCCTGAAGAGGAGGGGCCTCCTCCCCGGATCCCAGCCCTTGTCCTTGTGTCCTTAGAGGGGTGTCAGGGAGGCGTTGGCAGTGGGGTGTGGCAGGAGGGGCAGCTTCATCAGACACCCCTGTGCCATGTCAAGTGACCCTTCCATCTTGGGGAGGGCACCTGCCCATCTGAGTGGAGTCCTGGCCCTCGGCTCTTGGCTGGCACCTTGGAGGGCTCTGTCCCAGGAATGCAGGGGAGAGCTGCTCTGGGGATGAGCATGTTTGTCGGCGTAGGTCGGGGGCTACTCTGGACGTGAATACATCCCTTCCCCACCCAGCCACATCCTTTTGTTACCCTGTGCTCACTTGGGGACGGGGGCAGGTACTGGACGGTCCCTTCCTCAGAGGTGCTGATGAGAACCCTGGAGTTTTGGCAGGCTGCTCACCTTCTCTGCTCACTGCCCCGTGTCTGGGTTCAGGGGCCCCTGGTGGGGAGGGGGCTCTGTGCACTAGGGGAGCTGTGAGCGCCTGGGGTGCACATCTGGGTGTGTTCAGACCCAGCTGTGCACGCGGTGTAGTACCTGGGTGGGTGGGAGCTGGCACTCCTCTGGGGGTGGTTACTGTTACAAGGCTCGGGTTTCTTCCCCACTCTCCTCGGGGCTCAACTCTTCCCAGGAGCTTCTCCCATCCTCCTGAACCTGCTGTCTCCCTCCTGAGGGTGGAGTAGGTCTCTGGTGGCCTGGCAGATTGGAGAGGGTTGAAGGGCAACCCCCAGCTCCTTTGCTCTCGGAGAGAGACCGAGAGACACCCCACCTCTGCCTCTCCGAGAGCCACCTTAACCTCAGCCTTTGCTTTTGTCCTGTCCCTTGACCTTTGCCTGGGGGGTGGCGGTGCAGATTGGCTGGGAGGCCGCAGGCTGAAGACTGTGGGCGGGACAGGGGTGTGAGCTTGGGTTGACTTTGGCAAAAAACAGAGGTGAGAAGTATGACACCAGGACCCTTCTTCCCATCCTCCCAGAGCTGAAGGGAGGTACCCCCAACCCCCCAATTGGATAATTGGGGCCAGGCTGCCAGGGTTACCCCCTCACTACCCTGGCTGCCTTTCCAGGGAACTGGGGGTGAAGCAGGGAGGAGAGCGCCTTGGGCTCCAGCCCCAGCTCTTCCTTAGCTCTGGGGCAGCTCAGCTCTTCCTGGTCCCAACGAAGGGGGAGGGGGGAGCGAGGAGTCCAGCAGTCTGGGGGGCTCGGAGGCAGGTGATCGAGAAGTGGAGGCCTGTCCCCCACACCCTGTCTGGGTAGAGCTCCAGCCTGGGCCCCTGTCCTGTAGACCATGTAGGTGCCTGTATGTGGGTGGGGTGTCAGGGCTCAGCTCCGGGGCTGGGAGCTGGGAGGGGTGCTCTGAGGCACTGGAGAGACCTGGAGGCTGGACGTGGCGAGTAGCCCGCCTGGTCCAGGGGGCAGCGCCCTGCCTTGGTGTGTGGGGAGGCCCGTTGGTGACAGGAGCCCTGTGCCTCCGCCACCCAAGGTGGGAAGCGACAGCGGCGGCTGCTTCGAGAGGAGACCGGCTCAGCCCTGCAGGGCCCTGGGGACGTTGCCATCCTCCCCAGAGCTCCTGTTTGGGGGCACTAGAAGACAAGGGGGACACAGGATGTGGTTCCCCATCTGTCCCCCACCAATCGCCGCTGCTCACGCCTCCGCCCGCTCCCAGACGTCCAAGAATGTGAAGCACGTGGCCCCGCGCGGGGGGAGGGGAGAGATGCTTATCGGTGGCCGCGGGCCTGTGGCCTTCTTCCTCGGAGCTGCCTGCACCCGAGCCCCCCACCCCCGGAGGAAGGGCAGCCCCGAGGGCCCTGCGTCCCCTGCCCAGCCCTCCAGGGGCTGCAGGGGGAGCCGCGGAGGAGCGGGCGCCAGCTGGATGGGGAGGGGAGCTGCTGGCCGGGGGCCCGGCTGATTTCCTCCTGATCTCCTCCAGGAAACCGGCCCCTTGTGCGAGCCTGCGAACGGCTCTGGGGCGTGGGGAGTCCGGAGCGCTCTGCGCCTCCGGCCCGCGGGGAGGGGAGGGGAGGGGAGGGGAGGCGGGGGAGGGGCTCCCTGGCTGCGCGGGCCGGCGGGGCCAGGCTTCCTGGGCCGGTGCCAGCCCTGCGCTGGGCGCTGGAACTTTGAGCTCAGAAGGTGTGGTGCTCCTGCAGCCTGGTGTTCCTGCTGGAGAGACATTTGTGGGCTGGGGCCCCTGGGGAGGGAGGTGAGCGGGGAGGGGCCAGGCATGGCCGTCCTTCCCCCAGGGGTTGTGTGGATGGAGGTAAAGCTGTGTCCTTAGAGCGCCCCGCGCCTGCCCAGGCTGCTGGCTGGAGGCCTGAGCAGGTGGGCACTGGGCCCGGATTCTGGGTTCAAAGGGCACACTTGGAAACCTGAGCTGTTACCTGGGTGACAGGTGGGGTGTGCTGGAGGTGGGGGTACAGACCATGTTACAGCCTCAAAGGCAGCCAGCCTGCTGCCTGGTGGGTGGGGAGGAGGCCTCACGCAGACCAAACTGTAGCCCCACGCCCGCCGCCGTCTCCCCTAAAGCACAGTCTTTCAGCTCCGCAAACACCTCCGGACTTTGCCTGAGCTCCAAATTTCTACAGACCTTTGCCCCGCTAGTTTGACTCTGACCTGAGAGCTGCCTCTCATCCTGGTATCCTGTGTGTCTCCCCGTGCTCCGCCTCCCCTCCTCCATCCCACGCTGGACTCCAGAGCTTCCCCTCCCCTGTCCTTTCCCCCCTCCACCCGGGTCCATTTCAGAGGGGGGCTAAGGGCCGATGGGGAGGGGAGGCAGGTCAGTTCCTTGGAACGTGGACTGGGATTCTAGGCCGCAGCCCCTCCACCACATCCCCGTGTCCTTGACACCCCCCACACCAGTCTGGATTGTCTATTGTTACTCCTTTTACGTCTTGGAAAAAGTTAGCACAACAAAGGGCTCCTTTGTCGCTCACCCCTCTGCCTCCTGGCCTCACCCAGGCCCCCCAACCCTGCCCCCCACCCCAGCAGCTGTTCTCAGGCCTCTTGCCCGACTGATTTGCTTGTCTGGCCTCCAGGAGAGTGAGGTGGGGCAGACCAGGCTGGGGCAGTTTGGTGTTGGGTGAGGGCAGGGAGGTGAGGGCCGTGAAGAGGCTGTGGGCTGATGCGGGTATGGGCGTCCACGGCTTTGCTGTGGGCTGGTCTCTGGGCAGGCACGGGGCAGGGGGTCACAGCAGTGCTGGTCAGCCAGGCTGACCAGGGAAGTGGTGCCCAGGCCCTACTAAGAGCCAGGAAAGCCCTGCCAAGGTTGTTGGCCTGGTTCCCTGTCATCAACCTCCTGGCCATCCGTGGTGTGTCTGCAGGTACGGGGGCGGGTGGGAGCATGCAGCCAGCCCCCAGTGTCCAGGCGCTGCTTTTCTCTGTGCCTGGACTGTAGGGCCAGGTGACTCATGGCTGTAAGGTGCTTGGGCCAGGAGCTCTGGGCCCTCCTGAATGCCAGAGCCTTGTTATAGCCTTGTGTGCTGGAGTTTGGGGTGAGGCGAGGTAGGCTTCTGGGGTGTGGGAGGAGGTAGGGATCTACCTATTGGGGAGGCATCCTTGAGTTTGGACAAGTGGACTTGGCAAGGCCTCAGGAGGATGCTGGGTGGTCCCTTGGGAGTCTGGGGTTGCTTTGGTCACAGTTCTCCATCCAGCACAGTGTACCCCCGGCTGCCCTGGCTTTAGGCACAGACAGCCCCCACCCAGACCAACCCTGTCCTGCCTGGGGTGATGGGCATGGGGCCAAGCACTGGGGAGGGTTTGGCTAGTGAGGGCTGCCCTGCTGGCTGGGTCAACCCTCCTGGCTGCCCTATTGGAGCTGAATAGCAGGAGGGGAGGGGGGAGTAACCCGGACGTAGTATTGAGGCCAGACAGACAGAGCATTGATGGGAACAGACCCCCATTGTCATGCTGCTCCCCCGAGACTGGGCACCCAGAGCAAGGGGCTTCCGGGGCCCCTAGGGACTCCTCTCCTTGTCTCCAGGGAGTCCCCCCTGCTTATCAGGAGTCCCCGCCTGCTTCGCCCCAACATTTGCAACTTTTCTTTGCTCGCCTCGCCTGGAGTGCCTGGCCTGGGATTGTTTGGGTGGGGGAGGGGCTGTGGCTGTGAGAGGAGGGGGAGCGGAAGCCGAGGGGGCGGGGGAGTGGCCGCCTTTGAATATCCTGTTGACCCCAGTTTCCTCTGCCCCTAGCTTTGTGTCCTCTTCCCTCCTTCCTCGCGGGCCTTAACTCCTTCCTAACTGGGGAGACGGGTCCCGGCCGCCCAGATGCCAGGCTTTAGCACCAGGCGGCCTCCCACCCCCGCTGCCCAGGTGTAGCCATGTCCACGTACAAATCAGATGGGTTGTCATCTGACCTTGCTGGGTGTGAAGGTGGGGTCCTGGGCAGTAGATAGGAGTGATGGGGTGCTGATGGGTTCATTGGCAGCCGCATTCCCCACGTCTGGCTGGGGAGCCCCAGCTCTCCTGAGACGGTGTTCCTGCCCCTGAGTTTGAATTCTGGCAGCTGTGGTGAGGCTGGGAGGGGCTCCTGGGAGGGGTCTGGAGGCAGGGTGGGCGGGCACGGTATTAAGGATGGCAACCTGGGTCTCTAACTGCCCCTCCCTCTTCTCTCTCTAGCCATTGAGACCCAGAGCAGCAGTTCCGAAGAGATAGTGCCCAGCCCTCCCTCGCCGCCCCCCCTCCCCCGCATCTACAAGCCTTGCTTTGTCTGCCAAGACAAATCCTCAGGCTACCACTATGGGGTCAGCGCCTGTGAGGGCTGCAAGGTGAGTTGAGTCATTGGGAAAGGCAATCCTGATGAGATAAATGGACTGTCCCCACTGCCATGTCCTGGGAGTATGCTGTCGGGGGGTGTAGGGGGGTGCCCCTGAAGCTTCTGCACTTGTTCCTATGTGGCAGGTCACAGCAGCCTTGGAGGAGGGGAGGAAGCCTACAATAGAACCCCCCCAGGGATGAGCAGGGGTTCCCCCAAACCAAATAGGTCCCCTCCTGCCCGAGCTCCTCTCCCTGTCTCCATCCTCCTGCTGGCAGGGCGTAGATCTGCTCTGCCACGGCTGCCCAGGTTGCCATGGTGAGCTGGCTGCCGACTGGCTCTTGGCTGAGGACCCAGGAGGCCTGCCCCCAGTGGCCCTGCCTGAACCTCCCCATGGCGGCCTGGCAGGAGGCAGCCAGGAGCAGGCGCCTTGCCTTGGCCTCTCCTTCAGATGCTCAGGCTGTGGGCTCCCCCGTGTCTCGCTGCATGTCCCTGCGCCCACGCTAGGCTCCAGGGTACAGATGTGGTTGCCACCTTCCCAGCGGCTGTGGGCATGGCCTCTCCTCACCTCCCAGGTCCTGAGCCTCTGTACCTGTTTCTGCCCCAGAGGTTGGGGCTCAGAGGCGGTACAGTTTTAGGGGCTTGGGCTCCAGACTGCCTCTCATCCTGGAGTAGCTGTCCCCAGGTGTGGGGCCAAGATCAAGGGCAAAGCAGCCGGCCTCAGGGTGTGTGTGTCTGCCTGTCCTGCCTGTCCCTGGTCTGTCATGTCTCTGGTTAGCCTGTGTGTGGAGCCCCTGACCAGCCCGGTTCACCCGTGATCAGGCTGTACACATCTCCCCGGTTGGCCAGGGAGAGTGTGTGCGTCTCATCCTTCTTGCCAGCCCGTGTGTGTCCCCGCATGCCTCCTCCTGCTTGCGTTCTCTTCCTGTGCTCTGAGCTCAGGGCTGAGGGTTCCAGAGCTCTGCCTCTCTCCTCTCTAGGCCCATCTTCCCCTTTTCCTGACTCACTGGCAGCCCTGAGTTCCTTTTCCCAAGGAGGAAGGAAGCAGGGTGTGTGGGTGTGGGTTGGGGGAAGACCTCTGGGAGCTTGCAGTATAGGGGCAGGCCTGTCAGTTGTTTTGGGGGCATCCTAGTAGGTGAGCCCTTCTCCCACCTTATCTGCCCCGCTCAGGTAGGCGAAGGCCCCAGGCTGGTATGGCTCCCACGGTGGGTGTGGCTGATCTGACTCCCTCCCCTCCATACTCAGGGCTTCTTCCGCCGCAGCATCCAGAAGAACATGGTGTACACGTGTCACCGGGACAAGAACTGCATCATCAACAAGGTGACCCGCAACCGCTGCCAGTACTGCCGGCTGCAGAAGTGCTTCGAAGTGGGCATGTCCAAAGAGTGTGAGTGCCAGGGGCCCGGGGCCCGGGGCAGGGGCCAGGCCACCCGCTAGACAGGCCTGTGGTGTCCTAAAGGTAGGGGAGCGGGTGGCGGCGTGTGGGTGTGTGTGTAGGGATGTGAACTCGCACACCCATGGTACGGTGTGTGGGCTCATGGCTAAGGGTGGTTTGTGAATAGCTGCAAGGACCTGTCTGTCTGTACATCTAGCTGTGTCCATTGCAGACACCGTTCCTGTTCCTGTTTGCACACGGCTGGCTGTGTGTGCTCGTGTGTCTGCTGCAGGCCAGTTGGCTTCCAGGCCCTGCTGGGCTTTGGGGCAGGGCTCAGAAGCATCCCCAAGTCCCTTCTGATTGTACATCTTAGGGAAGGGCCTGTACTGAGGGTGTGTGTGTATGTGTGTGTGTGTGTTGGGCGTGCGGCTGGCACAGGGATCTAAAAGCCATTGTCCGGTGATAGAGCCTGGGCCCTAGGGTTTCAAGAGAGAATCAGAACGTCTCAGATCCCTGAGGGATGGGGGTTTCCAGTTTGGGCTCAGCTGAGGCTGGATGGAGGGAGGCGGGAGGGCTGGACAGGGAGACCCTCTTGTGTTGAATCATGAGTGTTGCCGTGGTGACCAGTGATTGATGATGTCAGAGATAAATGACGCTGACAGACGCCTCCTTGTCTGCGTGGCCGTTGCCATGGAGCCTGAGCCTTGGGGGATGGGGTGGGGGAGGGGGTTGCAGGACCCCCTAGCCCTTTGTAGGTTGGGCAGTAGAAGAAGAAAGTGGGGAAGGGGTGTGGGGAGACCGAGGGGTCCTGCATCACACTGCCACCTCCCGCCACAGGAGGCAGGGGCTGCCTCGTGAGGAGCCCAGGATGTGACGGCTCCATGCTGCATTGGGGTGACACCTGGGGACCTTCAGGGCCCAGCACTGCCTCCTCCCTCTGCTCCTGCCACCTTCCACTCCCAGAGCTTTCCGGTGCAGAAGGACCAGGGTGGGGACCCCTCTCCCTCCCACCGCATCTCCCCCTTTCCCTCCCTCCCTCTGGCTGCTCTGTGCCCCGGAGCTGAGCAGCTGCCATTTCAATAGAATTAAAGCTTCCGAATGATAAACGTCTTGTCACAGCTGCAATTTTCTCTTCCCAAATTATCCCCCCACTCTCCCTCTCCCTTCTTTCCCTTGCACTTTATTGAATTTGCAGAATCGACATGAGTGATCTCCAAATTATGCCAGCTCCCCCCCCCAGCCCACTGCCCCCTCCTGGGGCCCCCACCCCCACCTCTCTTCCTCCAGCGTCAGCAGCCGCCACCACTGGCCCTGTGAGTGATTGTGTGTCTGGGATAATCGGCTGGTAACGACCCCATCGCTTCTTTAAAGCCGAGTGGTGTGTGCGGCTCAGCGCCCCCGGTGATTTGTCAGCTCCCCCAGCTAATGGGCCGAGAGATTCTCCCATCCGGCCCCCCACTCTCAGGCTGGGGAGCCCTACACCGCCCCTGCCCCAGGAGAGGAGCTGCTTCCTCCACAAGCCAATCACAGGGACCCCCGGGAGACTGCTGGCTGGAGGACGGGCCAGTGGAGGCTGCTTGTTCTTGGGAGCAGAGGGAGTGGGGGACAGGCAGGCAGAGCGCGAAGGTGGGGCACTGCTCACTTGCTTTCGGACTGGGACCCCACGTTTCTGGAGTGTGGCTGGAGTAAGCGCTTGGGAGTAAGGGCACAGCGGGCTGGTGCCGTGGTCCTCGGGCCCTCGGGCAGACATGGCTGTGGGCATGGAGGGGTGGAGCGTGAGTTGACACCTTGTCTGCCTGCGCACTTGTGTGTCTGTGAGTCTGTGTGTGTGCACATTGTATGTGCGTCTCTGCGTGCACATTGTATGTGCGTCTGTGTGTGCATTGTATGTGTGTCTGTGTGTGCACATTGTTGTGTGCACTGCTGTGTGTGCGCCCAGCGGGTAATGACTCCTGCAGCCAGCAGCTCTGGTGGGAGGAGCTTGGGCTGGGGAGGGACCGGGACCTGTGGATGGACCACGGCCTGCACCTGCTCTCTAACCACGGCCTCACCCTCCACAGCCGTGAGGAACGACCGGAACAAGAAGAAGAAGGAGGCACCCAAGCCTGAATGCTCGGAGAGCTACACGCTGACGCCAGAGGTGGGGGAGCTCATTGAGAAAGTGCGCAAAGCGCACCAGGAGACCTTCCCTGCCCTCTGCCAGCTGGGCAAATACACTACGGTACGGCTTCCCCTGGCCCCTCACGAGTGCCCCTTCTGCCAGGCTGGCTCGCCCTCCCCCTGCCCAGGCCTCCCATCCTCCCTCCCCCTCCGCCCCCTCCTCCTGCTTCCTCCTCCTCCGAGTGCTCAGGAAGCGAAGGCGGGTTTGGGGCAGGCCTGTGGGGGCTGGTGGAGCCAGGCCAAGGAGGGGGGCCTTGGGGAGAAGGCCCTCACTCTCCCCCGTCCTCTCAGAACAACAGCTCAGAACAACGTGTCTCTCTGGACATCGACCTCTGGGACAAGTTCAGTGAACTCTCCACCAAGTGCATCATTAAGACTGTGGAGTTCGCCAAGCAACTGCCTGGCTTCACCACGCTCACCATTGCTGACCAGATCACCCTTCTCAAGGCTGCCTGCCTGGACATCCTGGTGAGGGTCTGGGCCCTGCCCCATGTCCTTGGAGGATGTCCTGCCACTCAGATAACCACCTTCTTAAACATCCGTCTGGAATGGACGCATCCAAATGCCCCGCCCACCCAAACAGCAGCCCTTTCCCTCCCCGCTGTGTCCATTTGCCCACTTGTCTACCTGTCTACCTGGCCACTTAGCCACACAGCACCTGGATGTACACGGGCTCACCCACTCACCCGCACACATTCATCCACCCTCACCCCATCTTTCTATTAAGCCATCGTCCCATCTGTTCAGTCGGTAATAAAGATTCGCCTGGGACCTGTGTGGGCAGGCCTTGAGCTGGGTGTCAGGAGCAGAGATGAACACAACACTATCCCCTCCCTTGAAAACCTCCTGGTTTTGGAGGCGACAGATCTGCAAACAGAGGTTGCGAGCCGTGATAAGAGCTGGCTAGAGATGGGGAAGGGATGTTCTCCCTCCCTGCAGACGAGAGAGCTCCAGCTGCTGGGCCCCAGGGAAGACATTCAGAGGAGACTGACACCTGGGGTGTGGAGGGGGCATGGGAGAGGGCGGCCCTGACGGAGGACAGGATGTGCAAGGCCTGCTGCTGGGCGTCCAGCTGGAGCAGGACTGGCGGGGCCCAGAAGGTGGGCTGGGCTGGAGGCAGGATTGGGGGCGGTGGGGATGCCAAAGCCTCCACTGACAGAACTCTCCTCCCTGTCATTCATCCTGACCAGCTCCGCCCTCTTGCCCACCTCCAGGCTGGGGAACTTCCTGGTAGGAGTGGGCAGGTGCAGTGTGTGCCGCCTCCCCTCCCCACCCAGGCCCTGGGTGCAAGAGGCAGGATCAGGGTTTGACACAGTTGAAGCCGATGCACATTTATTGAGCTCCTGCTGCGTACCCTGTCCTGGGAACCGTGGACATAAATTTGCTATGATTCTTGCCTGGAAATTCTAGTTTCTAAAGAACTCTAAATTTTCTGCATGGAGACAGACAGGAGGCCGACCCAGAACCAGGCCAATACAGAAGCCGCTTGCCATGCGTGGCTATTTAAATGAACTAAAATGAAATCCAATCAGTTCCTCAGGGGCACTAGCATGGTTTTCAGTGTTCGATGGCCACACTGTGGCTGGCGGCTCGTGTCTGGGTGGTGCAGACCTAGATGGTTTTCATTATTGTAGGAGATTCTATCGGGCTGCACTGGCATGGCTGCCTGCCAGGTGGGCCTGTGGGGATGGCTGCTGGTGCTGGAGGTGCTGGGGGATGGGCTGCGTCCCTAAACTCGTGCCTCCTCTGCACCCAGATCCTGAGGATCTGCACGAGGTACACGCCCGAGCAGGACACAATGACCTTCTCGGACGGGCTGACGCTGAACCGAACCCAGATGCACAACGCCGGCTTCGGCCCCCTCACAGACCTGGTCTTCGCCTTCGCCAACCAGCTGTTGCCCCTGGAGATGGATGACGCTGAGACTGGGCTGCTCAGCGCCATCTGCCTTATCTGTGGAGGTGGGCCGGGGCCGGGGGTCCCGGGGCTCGGCCCAGGGTGGTCGGGGAGCCCCTCACCAGGATGTCCAGGGATCATCAGCTCAGGAAGGGACCTTGGCCCCTGTCAGGTCCTGTTCAGAGGGGGAATCGAGTCCCAGAGGGGTAGAGTCTGGTCTGTGGCCACACAGCACGGGTGTGGCAGTGGAGACCTGAATTCTGGTTCCCTCCCTGGTCAGACCACCCAGGCTCATATCCTGGCCAGCTCTGCGCTTGAGCAGGTTGCCAAAGTCTCGGAGCCCCATGTCTGCAAGATGAGGCCATAATGGGCCGAGGAAGGTGGTCGTTCATAACGAGGGCACACTGTGCCCAGAGGAAGACTCGTACACGTTGGCTGCTGTCGCTGTTTTCCTGTTACCGGCTCTGCCGTATCGTTCTGGTGTCCGTGGTGGGTGGGAGCCAGAGACCTGCCTGGGCATCTTCCTCTGCTGGGTCCCAGCCCCACGAGCTGGGCTGTCAGGGCCGCTCTGGGCCAGCACAGCCTCCGCGCCTCTGCTTCCATAAGAGCCTGTGTCAGAGCACACCGACCCCTCCACTGCCCTGTGTGGCGAGGCCCCAGGAGCGGAAGCCCAGCTTGTGGCCGGGGCAGGCGCGCCCCCCAGTGGCCACGGCTGGGAGCACAGCGGCGTTCCCAGCTTGGCCAGGGCCGTGGCTCAGGGGGCTCCTCCTTCCTCAGACCGGCAGGACCTGGAGCAGCCGGACAGGGTGGACATGCTGCAGGAGCCGCTGCTGGAGGCGCTGAAGGTCTACGTGCGGAAGCGGAGGCCCAGCCGGCCCCACATGTTCCCCAAGATGCTCATGAAGATCACGGACCTTCGAAGCATCAGCGCTAAGGGTGAGGCCCCCACCCAAGCTGTCCTCCTCCATCTAGGCCACGTCCCCCGGGGGCCCCCCCAGGCCCCGGGGACCTCCTGCCTGTGAGCGCGAAGGCGGCAGTGCCACCTGTGCTTGGTGGTGACGGGCATGGATCGGACCAGATGGCAGGGGCGCGTGCCCTTGAGCAGGTCACTGAGCAGCTCGGAACCTTCTGAGGGGCGAGGACAGTGACGGTGTTGACAGGGTGGTTGTGTCGAGGTGTCAGCAGGGGAAGCCACGGCACAGAGCACATAGGAAGGGCCCGGTGTCAGACCAGGTGGCTGGCGTTAAGAACCACTCTCCCCGCGGCCCCCCGACTTGGGAACTAAGAGAGCTGGGGCCCGAGTCAGGGCACGGTGGATGCTGAGCCTGGAGGGGCTGGTCCTCCGGGAGCCAGGCTTGCACCCGGGTTTGCGGGGCTGGGCCGTGGGGGCGTGTGCTGACCTCTGCCCTCCTCTCCTGCAGGGGCTGAGCGGGTGATCACGCTGAAGATGGAGATCCCAGGCTCCATGCCGCCCCTCATCCAGGAAATGCTGGAGAACTCAGAGGGCCTGGACACTCTGAGCGGACAGCCGGGGGGCGGGGGGCGGGAGGGGAGTGGCCTGGCTCCCCCACCCCGCAGCTGTAGCCCCAGCCTCAGCCCCAGCTCCAACAGAAGCAGCCCGGCCACCCACTCCCCGTGACCACCCGCGCCCCGTGGACACAGCCCTTGCCCCTCGCCCGGCTTTTCTCTGCCTTTCTACCAACCGCGCGACCCCAGCCAGCCCTGCCCCTCCCTGTCTCCCTTCCGGGGACAGGAGGCAGGAGGGAGGAGGTGGCGACTCCTTGGACAGAGGCCCGGGTGCTGTGGACTGTTACTCTGCGGCCTGGGTGGTCGGGGGCGAGGTCACGAACTGCGTGAGGACCCCTGGTCCTGGGCCTCAGGATGGGGCCTGGGGGCCTGTGTTCATCAAGACACCCGTCCGCCCACCTCGCCACATCTTCATCACCAGCAAAGGCCAGGACCTGGCCCCTCCATCCTCAGAACTTGCAAGCCATTGCCCCCCGGTTGGGGAACCCCCCCCTTGCCTTGGTTGGTGACAGAGGGGGTGGGCCAGGGGTGGGGGGCTCCCCCTGTACATACCCTGCCATACCAACCCCCAGGTATTACCGCTGGTTTTGTTTTTATTTTAATTTTTTTGGTTTTGATTTTTTTTAATAAGAATTTTCATTTTAAGCACATTTATACTGAAGGAATCTGTGCTGTGTATTGGGGGGAGCTGGATCCAGAGCTGGAGGGGGTGGGTCCTGGGGGTGGGCAGCGGCTCAGAGGGGCTCCCACTCTCTCTCTCCATGTCCCTGTGTCCCCCTGGCCCTCTCCCCAGCCCTTTTCTCCTCAGTTTTCTCTTTCAAACTGTGAAGTACTGGCTTTCCGAGGCCTGCACTCCCCTCCTTTGTGTTGGGGAAGCAGTCAGCCCCCTCTCCCCCCGTCTCCCTCTCGGCCTAACCACTGGGTGTGGACAGTTCAGGCGGCCCCTAGGAGGAGGGTGCCCACCACCAGAGACGGGTCAGGCCACGCAAGGGGGGCCCGCAGAACATACATGTACGTGTTCCTAATCCGCGTCCTTCGCTGAGCTGCCCCCCATCCGGGCCCACATGATCTCAGCCCTCCTACCCCCCACTGTGAAGGGGCTGGCCGAGGGGTTTGAGCTGTCCCTGCCCCCCAGCCTCACAGCCACCAGCACCACCCACAGGGCCCCCCAGACACACACACACACACACACACACACACACACACACACACACGCCGACAGATACTCTTGGCCTGAATTCCTCCATTTCCCCGGCCTGCCCCCCAACCCCCACCCCACACCCGTGCTCCCTCCTTGCCCCGCAGGACGGGCCTAAGGGGGTCCCCTCTCCTCATCCCCTGCACCCCTGGGCTGGGGGAGCTGGCTCTGCCCTGCCCCCCCTTGCCCCAGGGTTGGGGTCTTACCCCCCCCAGAGCCCGCTGGTGCACCTGTTACTGTGGGACTTTCCACTGAGATCTACTGGATAAAGAATAAAGTTATATTTATTCTACACATGCCTCAGCCTTGCTGCCTCACTGCCTTCCCTCAGCATCTGGGCAGGGGGCTGGGGCTGGGGGGTCCGATGTGAGTCCTGGGGGCCTCTTGTGCTGTGGTCCTTGAGACCCTGTGGCCGGAGACAGGTCTGCTCTGAGGAAGCCCTTGGTCTGTGTCAGGGAGCCCCAGTCTGGAGGTGGGGAAGGGAGAGGGGGAGAAACTGCCCCCCACCTTCAGGGAATCACCCATCAGGAAGGGTGCCAGTCCCAGCTCCCAGGGAGTCCCAAGGAGAGAGGAAGCCGGCACTGCCCTCGGAGCTCCTAGCCCTTGGGAAGATTGGGTCTGGGGCTTGTTTAATAGCAGAGGAGTTTGCCTGGCCCGTGTGGCTCAGTGGTTGAGCACTGACCCATGCACCAAGAGGACGGTGGTTTGATTCCGGGTCCAGGCACATGGCTGGTTGAGGCCTGATCCCCAGTAGGGGCTGTGTAGGAGGCAGCCAATTGATGCTCTCTCTCATCAATGTTTCTCCCCCCACCCCCCAACACCAATTTAAAAAGAAAAGAGTTCTATTTTTGGAGTGAATACGGACTTGACCTTCACGGCAGAGCGGGTAGTTGGTATGGGGACCTGGATCGGGGGCTCATGGCAGCCTTACAAGAACACGGGATTGGGTAGAAGCTCACGAGGCCAGCCTGTCATCCCTCGGCCCCCAGGAGGTGGCCCCGTGAGCAGGGGGCACAGAGGACAGGTTGCAGGAGAACCTGGCTGCTCCTGGGTGAGAGGGCTGAGTGTGGCAGCCCTCAAGGGTCCTCGGAGACCAATTCTGCCTCACCCCACACAGCAAGCCTCGGAGAGGGCAGTGCCCCTGTCCAGGGCCACACAGCAAGTTAGTGGCAGACGGGGGGCCAGTACTCAGGGCTCCCACCTCTCAGCCAGGGCTCTTGCCTGGATCTCTGCAGCCCCGAAGGAAGCGTCAAACACCGAGCTCTGGGGGGTCTGGGAGGTGGCAGCGGAAGGCGTGTTTGGAACAGTTAGCAGCCAGGTTGGGCAGGAAGATTCCTGGGCGGGAAGGCGTTTCTTCCCCTGGGGCCCGCCTGCCGTTTCTACGTCCGCCACCAGGTGGCGGCAGCGCCTCGCTTATCTCACCATCGGCCGTGGCTGGCGTGGGCGTGGGCCAGGGGCTCTCTTCCTCTAATATTTTCTCACATTTTCCTTGTGAAACGGAAATGAAATTTAACACAATATACCTACACAGTAGGTAGGCATTTCAGTGTGTAAATGCTTGGGCCCAACCACGGGCAGATACGACATAGTCCCAGGTTTGCTTCTGTTTTTAATGAACACATTGGGATTTAAAGGAAGTAAGAAGGTCAGAAGCCACCGTGTAGGGCAGTGATGGCGAACCTCTTGAGCTCGGCGTGTCAGCATCTTGAAAAACCCTCACTTAACTCTGGTGCCGTGTCACATATAGAAATTTTTTGATATTTGCAACCATAGTAAAACGAAGACTTACATTTTTGATATTTATTTTATATATTTAAATGCCATTTAACAAAGAAAAATCAACCAAAAAAATGAGTTCGCGTGTCACCTCTGACACGCGTGTCACAGGTTCGCCATCACTGGTGTAGGTGAAGCACAGGAAAGTTAAAGGGAATGGTTGGTTGGACGTTGCAATTAAAACTGACAGCGTATGACAAAACCATGCGAATCCCCCTGCCCCCCCCCCCCCCCCCCCCGTGAAACCCTTAATGGTCTGTATGGAAAACAGGTTTTCACTATGAAAATGTTCAGTGGGAACTTCTTTAGTGGGGAGCACCTCTTGGCATTCTGAGCCAACAGGGTCCTCCCCCTCCTGTGACTAGAGCCATGGCCCCTACATTTACAAGGTGCCCCCCGCCCCCGGGGTCGTACCTTTGCTGCTGGGACCCTCCAGAGCCTGAGGTTGCCCACAGTGGCTCACAGATCATCGCTGTCAGGCAGTGTCTCAGCCACAGCACAAGTGGCATCTTGTGCTCAGGGGCTGTCCTATGCATTGTAGGATGTTTAGCAGCAACCGTGGCCTCTGCCCCTTGGAAGCAAAACTGGTCACTGTGGGGGTAGGAAGAGCAACTTCGGTGTGGACTGGAGCACGGACACCCTGGGAAGCCAGAGCGATGGGCTGGCAGCCTCAGAAGCAGGGCCTGGGTGTGTGGGGGTGGGGGTGGGGATGGGGGCAGGAGGGCAGGGTGCTGGACTTACTCTGAGAACAGGGGAGCCCCTCGGGCAGAGGGAGGGCTATTTAGAAAGTGCCCTCAGGCTGCTGTGTGGAGTAGTCTGTGCAGGAGAGCCCAGGAGGAGGCTGGAAGGAGCATGGAGAGGGGAGGGCCAGAGAGGGGAGGGCCAGGGAAGGGGGAGAAAATGGGGCAGAGAGAGTCATGGCAGCCTGCAGCAGGCCTGAGGGTGCAGTCAGAGGGTGGCCCCTGGGTGTCACGTGGGTCCTGGGTGATCCTCTGGAAACCAGCCCCACTGGGGCAGTAAAGGAGAAAGACAGACGGCAGAGGAGAGACAGGAGGACAGGAGGCAGCCTGTCCACAGCTCTTCCTATTCCTCCAGGAGGGGAGAGGGTGGTGGCTGCAAGAAAATGCAGGGCCGGGAGCCTGTCTTGGGGAGATTTCTTCTGAGTATGAAAGGGACGCAGCCGTGTTTGTGAGCTGGGGAACAGAGCAGCAGGCAAGGAGGGTGGAGCTAGAAGTGAAAAGTCTCCCCCTCTGATCCACTGCTCAACCCCATTCTACCTCCAGGAGGAGGGCCCTGCCACCGGGCCCACCTGTGGATGGTGCCCAGGAGCCGACCAGACGGAGGCCTGCCCAGGTGCAGGGCACCTCCTCCCCTGCCTTCCTGTGATGCCCTTGCAGGTAGGGAGGGAGCCACTATGGCTGCTGCTGGCACCGACCCTGATCATCCACAGTGCATATCAGAGATTCCCCCCACACAGCTGACACAGGGCACACACATGCCCACGCCGGATGTGCATGTGTAATCACACGTGCACACAGAGTTGCCACAGGATTACACCTGCGTGCACACACAAGAGGGCTCACAGAGGTTTTACGTGTGCACATGCACACACCTCCACTGTGTACGTGTGTACCTGTGTGCACATACACAGGGAGCCCACGCAGAGGCCACACGTGTCTGAACGAGGGCCTCGGGATGCTGGTGCCGCAGTTGTTTTTGTCCCCAGCGAAACAAGCAGGTCACCACCTGAACCCCACTTTACGCGTTGCTCGCCCACTTTCCCTCGGCTCCCCTCCCGCGGGCGCCCTCCTTTCCACCTGGATCGCGGCATCTGGACCTGCCTCAGTTCATTCTACGTCCCAGCTCGGCTGGGAGCACGAGGGAGGTGCGAACGGAGGCTGCTGGGCCGCCACCCCAGGCGAGACGCGCCCCCGCGGGCAGGTCCTGGGAACGGGTCGAGCAGAAGCCGCTTCTTGCTTGGGCTGCGGGGCGGGGTTCCGCCGCTGCGCTCGCCCTGGGCTCCGTGCACCAGGCGGCCCTAGATGGTCAGGTCCTGGCGGACCGTGGCCAGTGACGCCTTGCTGCGGCCGCTGCCGCCCTCGCTGTCGCCGCCGGCGGGCGCCCGGTGCGCATAGGCGGGCGGGGCGTCGGGGTCGGGCCCGGCCCGCCGCGGGGACAGCGCTGGCGGCGGCGGCGGCGGCGGCGGGAGCAGCTTCTGCGCCTCCTCGTGCGCCCGGTTGCGGCGGTTGTCGCGCTCGGCCGCGGGGCGCGGGCGGCCCTTCCAGAGCAGGTGGCCCAGCTCGGCCACGCTGAGCAGCGCCGAGAGCAGCCCCACGGCGAAGTAGAAGACCACGAAGACGGTCTTCTCGGTGGGCCGGCTCACGAAGCAGTCCACGGTGTGCGGGCAGGGCGGGCCGGCGCACGCGAAGTGCGGGGCCACGCGGAAGCCGTAGAGCAGCGTCTGGCCGGCCAGGAAGGCCAGCTCGGCGCCCAGGCGCAGCGCCACGCTCAGCAGGTAGCAGCGGCGCGCGCGGCGGGCGCGGCGGGCGCCCTCGGGGGGCCCCCGGCCGCCCGGCTTCCCCTCGTCGGCGGCCGCGCCGCCCGGCTCCTTGCTGGCCTGGTGCATGGAGTAGATGGCGAACAGCACGGGCGGCGCCGAGAGCAGCAGGATGTGGAAGAGCCAGAAGCGGTAGTGCGAGACGGGGAAGGCGCGGTCGTAGCAGGTCTGGCGGCAGCCGGGCTGCAGCGTGTTGCACACGAACTCCTCCTGCTCGTCCTCGAACACCGCGCCGCCCACGGTGGCCAGCACCAGGATGCGGAAGATCAGCATGACCACCAGCCACAGGCGGCCCACCAGCGGCGACTGCAGCTGCACGGCGTCCAGCAGCGAGCTGAGGAACGCCCACTCCCCCATGGCGCTGGGGGCGGGGGGGGGGGGCGTCAGCGGCCGCAGGCAGGGCCCCCCCACCCATGCCCCCGGGAGTGGGCCCAGTGGGACCTCCTCTAACCTCCTGGTGAGTCGGGGGTCAGCGAGGTCTGGGTTTAGCAGGGATTTTATGGGAACAAAGAAGTTAGCAAGGGGGGCGGGGGCAGGAGGGGTTTGGTGAGTCTCAACTAGGGGTGTCCCTCTCCCTGGGGCCGGTGGGTGCTGGGAGGAGCCCCTGCCTGGTGCTCCAGCCTGACCCCTGGGCCGGCTCCGTTGGGCCTTAGGTTCCTCCAGAGCCTAGATTCGCAGGCGGCGCCTTGGAGACCATCAGGGCCGCCCTGACTGCACTTGAGAAGCAGAACCCAGCTGCGCCCTATGTGCTCAAGGCTGCTTTCCGCGGCCAGAGTGGTGCCTCGAACCCAGGACTCCAGACCCAATTTGGTACCCCACCTTTTTCTTCCTCTGCCCTTTCCCCTGCAGTGAGTTTCTCTCTGGATTGTGGGGTGACACAAAAGGAGTCCTACTCCATAAGCTATCAGGACCCTTTGTCCTGGGTATCCCCTGCCCTCCGACCCCAATGAGGCAGGAATGCGGCCCAGGCCTCTCCCCTCTTCCCCCTGGCGCCCCTGGGCTTCCAGTCTCCCACATCTCCTGAGAGAGGCTCCCCAACACACACTCACACGGGCCCCACAGGCTCCGGACACCCCCAGACCCTCAGTGGACCCCACTCACCCTGTTCCTGGAGCTGAGGTGTTAAAGTTGAGCGAGGGATCTTGGGAGATGTCCGGGACCTGTTCCTCCTGGTCCCTCTTTCATTTTCCCTTTCAGATTTGGCCGGGATGGATGACAGGACAGGATGGCCGAGAGGGGCTAGCTCGCCCCCCTCTCTTAAAGGGACAGGGTGACCCTGTTGGCTGGGTCCACCCTTGGGAACAGACATAGGGACACACCCCTTACTGGATTCTGCCAGCCCTCCCTTTCCCACCCCCTCCCCCCCATTCCACAGCTGTGTCTCCATCTGGAAACTGGGGGGGGGGGGAGGAGGCTGCACCCCTTATTGAGGAAACTTTATGGAAGCCGGTCCCGGGCAGACTCCCCCAAACTGGAAGGCCTAGATCCGCTATCGACTAACTATCCCTTTAAAGGCGGTCTTCGGGGCTGGAGGGCGGCTTGGTGCTGGTGTTGGGGGCACCGGCATTTAAGAGGCAGCAAAGCCGGTAGCTCTGGTTCCAGCTCTGCTACTGACCTTGGACAAGTCACTGAGCTCTTCTGGGCCAGAGTCCCCTGGTTGGTCACCTGAGGCGACTGCAGCCGACCCTCCCGTTTCCTTCCAGCTCCGCGTCTTAATGCTGAGGTCCAACCGGTTACAGAGGACAAAACACGGGCCAGAAAACTCCCGCACGGAAAAACACTTAGGTATCGAGAGCGCCTGCCTTGGGTAGTTAAAGAAAAGCTGTTACTTCCTGCTTTCTGTAAGTCCCAGACTTCCTCTGGTGAGCATGTTATCTTATAACGTGGGAAATAGACAGAAAGGCTCCCTCCCATAGGCTCTGAATTGGATCACCTCCTACGGCTCTAGGTGGCAAGAGAAGCTGCCCCATAGGATGACCCTGGTGACCTGAGCAGCCAGGGAGGGGACGCTGTCTTTCTAGGAGTTTTCCCAACCTGCACACCAGGCCCCTCCCTCACGGATGCACCTGCCCTGGGCCAGGCCCTGTGCGGAGCGCATCGCACCGGTTAGAGGACTGGAACCTTGGTAGCAGGGAGTCTGAGACTCAAAGGATCTAAGCCACCGTCACATAGCAGGTCCCAGCCTCAGGCCTGACCCTCCTGGTTCTGAGTTCATACTCCAAAGCCCATCATGGAACTGTCCTCCGTCGAGCCTGGCTGCCTTCCCAGGTGGTGTCGACACCCAGGGCCCGACAGTCCAGGGCTTTGACTGGGCTGGTGGGCACAGGCACAGGCACAGGCACAGGCACAGGCACAGGCACAGGGGTGGGCCTTGCTACCCCTTCCTGTGCGGGAAGGGTGCCAGGACTCACCTGCTCAGTGGCTTTGCCTTTCCCCTTCAGCCCTGGGGGTCTGTGTGGTTTTCCATGTTGACAGGGACCCCGGGGTTGGTTTCAGGAAGGGGTGGGAAAGGTGCCCTTCATCCCCTCTGGCTCAGGGGCCCAGCCCCGCCTGGAAAAACCCCAACTCTTTCCACCCCCGTGCAGGGTTCCCTTGGGAATGGGCCTGGGTGGGGAGAGACGGTCCTGGATGAAGTCCAAGGGAAAGCACATGCTGGGGCCACACCCCCCAAAACAGGAAGTGGGGTGGGGGCACTGCAGACCTCACCCCATGACCTCCTCCTGCTTCTGGCAAAGCTGCTTTCCAACCCCCAACTTCCGTCCACAAGCATGGGGCTCAGGGACACACCTCATCGCCCCCGACTGTCCAGGAATGGTCCCTGCCCTGTCCCCTTGCACCCTGCCGGGTCAGCCCACTGGGCCAGCCTGGAAAAACCCATCAGACCTACTTGCCTGCGGGGGGTGGAAAGTGGCTGAGGTGGTGGTGGGCTAGGGTGGGGCGGGAGGCGGAGAGCCCATGGTCACCCTGCAGTGTCCCCAGCCCCTGCTGCCACAGGCCAGACACAGGAGACTCTGCAATCACGGCCCGTCTTCCTTCCCAGATAGCGCTGTCCAGCCTGGGAGGAGGTGTTGCTGATGCTAACCAGGGCTGGCGGCATTGGCTCCATTCTTGGCCATACTTGCAGCCCGGGGCCCGTCCTGCCCTGTGCACGTTCAGTCCCTGCCCCAGACACTCGCCCTGCCCTGCCTGGCTGTGGAGCCATTTCCCATGTCTGCCACACATGGACACACGCATGCAGGCATGTCATTGTTTGTACCCAGTAAGTGCCAGGATCAGGAAACGATTGTATTTTCTCTTCCCTGTGCCCCTCTGACATGTCTAAAAGTCTTTACAGAAACGTTGCCTTCTAGTGAGGCCTTCACAACCACCCTGAGTGGGATTTACCCCCCTACTTCCTAGCCCTTTTCTCAGCTTTATTTTCTTTGCACTGATCACTACATTGCATGCTTTTTCTTATTTATCCCGTGTAGCATCCATCTCTCCCACTATCACGTGAGCTCCAGGAGGGCATGGGCGATTAGTGCTTTATCCCCTGTCCTGTCTCCAGCACCCAGAACAGCTTCTGGCAGGTGTAGGTGCTCACTAAATATCAGTCAGGCAGATGCGTGAATGAAGTGGGGTGGGAGGTTACAGAGGGTGCGGATCTTCTTTGCCTCAAATGATGCGAACCGCGGTGGGTCCCACGCCTCGGTCGCTTGTTCTGGTGTCCTCTAGAGCAGTGGTTCTCAACCTTCTGGCCCTTTAAATACAGTTCCTCATGCTGTGACCCATAAAGTTATTTTCGTTGCTACTTCATAACTGTCATGTTGCTACTGTTATGAATCGTCATGTAAATATCTGATATGCAGGATGGTCTTAGGCGACCCCTGTGAAAGGGTCGTTCGACCGCCAAAGGGGTCGCGACCCACAGGTTGAGAACCGCTGCTCTAGGGCTTGTGATCACTGGAGCGGCCAATCGGGATGTCCAGTCCGGGGCAGAAATGAAAACTCCAAGATGGAGTGATGGTAAAGTCCTCCTGCCCCAGCTCAGCACGCGTGTGGAAGGTGCGGGTGTGAAGGCTGTGGGCATGGCTGGTTCCTGGTTACTTCTCCTAGTCCTCCGCCCCCCGCCCCCACCTGGCTGCACAGTTTCTGGCCCTTCAAACTCTCCCCAGGCCTGCACGCCCTCTGGATCCCACCGCCTTCTGCTCACGGGTTCCCCCTGCGCCTCTCGCTTCTCCCCTGGCCCTCAGCCGTAACAGGGACCGGCCTGGCCTGAGGCCTTACCTCCTTCCTTGGCTCTACTTAAGATTAGTTTCAGCTGTAGCACAAAAGTGCTAAACAAAAGATGCAAGGACACCTCTAGCTTGTAAAGGCCCCAGGAAGCCACCCTAACTGACCCGCTTGCATATCATTGGCTGGGATGACCGTCCACAGGAAGCTGGGAGATGTAGTCTTTATTCTCGGTAGCCTTGCACCCGAGATGGGAGAATTAGCCTTCATTGTCACAAATCTGTTTCTGGTCTTGGCCCTCCACTCCGCCTTGGGGGGGTCAGAGGAACTCAGTTTCCCCCAAGGGAAGCCTTCCCCGTCTTGCTTGTCATCTTGTCCCCAGGCCCCTCCGGGCCTGCCTTTCTGTGTCTCCCCAAGTCCCATCCCTTCTTGTTCTTGAGCAGAGAAGTCATGACTGCCAACGGGAGGCCCCCACCTGGTCTCTTTTCCCCGTTTCACCCATTTCTAGGTTGTACCTGTAGCAGCTTTGCTCAGAGAGGACAGTACGTGGGCCTGGCAGTGGCTGGGACCGGCCGGCGGCTCTCTGAGCGACCACGGGACTTGGGAGTCCCTCTCTCCTTTCCTTGAAAGCCTGGAGTGAGTGAACTGACAGATGAGAGAAACAGCCTTGGGACTGGGTTGGGGAAAGTGTAAGGATCTGAATTGTCAAGAGGCATTTTTCGAAGTCCCTTTCCCTCCATGCAGCTCTGAATGGCCCCTGTTTGTAAGTGCCAGGTGGTATAAGCAACCACAATCTCTTCCTGCAGCCTTGGGTCCTCGACCTTCTTTCTCTCCAACAGCCCAGGGGCAGAAGTGGGATCAAATTAACTCGAGGTCAACTGATGGGCACAAGTCCCTCCCTAAAAGCAATACTCCTGGGTCTTAAGGCCTGACCTTGGCCAGGCTCTGGAAAGTCACAGGAAGTTACCAGAGTCAGAAGACAAAGTCACTCATGGATTGGGCTTCCTTTCCTCCTGCTAAAATAACACTTACTGCTATATCTTTTTGCATTCATCAGGATGTATTGGGCCACTTGGAGGCCAATGAAGATACTGTCTGACTGAAAGGAAACAAATCTGACTTCAGAAAGTACTGAGGACAAATGTAAGGGGGAATGTAAAATGATACAACCTCTTTGAAAAGGGTTGGCAGTTTCTTATAAAGGTAAACCTACACCTTTACAATGACCCAACAATTCCAAGTTGAGTATTTACCTAAGAGAGATGAGAAAATATGTCTGTAAAAAACATGCTAATGTTCCTAACAGCTTTATTTATAATAGGGCCAAACTGGAAACAACTCAGTGTCTATCAACAGGTGAAAAGATAAACTATCCATACGATGGAATAATATTCAGCAATTTCAAAAACATCCAGGGAACTAGCCGAGGCCTGTGTGGCTCAGCTGGTTGGAGCATCACCCTGTGCACCTGGAGGTCACCAGTTCGGGGCACATGCCTAGGTTGCAGGTTCAATCCCAGGTCAGGGCGTGTGCGGGAGGCAACTGATTTATGTTTCTCTCCCTTCCTGCCCCTCTAAAAATAAATAAAATAAAATAGGAGGAAACATTTGTTTTGTTTTTTGGTTAACCCTCATCTGAGGATGTTTTTTCCACTGATTTTTTAGAAGAGACTGGGTAGAGACAGAGAGAGGGAAACATCGATTGGTTGCCTCACATGTGACCGGAATCGAACCTGAGACCCTTCAGTCCTGAGGCCGGCACTCTAGCCACTGAGCAAACCGGCTAGGGCGGTGGTCGGCAAACTGCGGCTTTTGAGCCACATGCGGCTCTTTGGCCCCTTGAGTGTGGCCATGAAGTTTCGATCGCACTGTATGTGCGCGCCCCACGTGGTATTTTGTGGAAGAGCCACACTCAAGGGGCCGCAGATTGCCGACCACTGGGCTAGGGCAAGGGGGAACTATTGATACAAGCAACAACATGGATGAATTTCAAAAGCATAATGCCAAATGGAAGAACCCAGACACAAAAGCATACATACTGAATGATTCCATTTATATGAAGTTCTAGAATAGGTAAAACTAACCTATAATAGTAAGATTCTGAT